TAACGTAACGACACACTAGACACTCGACGAACGACAACTATATATATATATATATATATATATATATATATATATATATATATATCATATATATATATATCATATATATATGAGGCGAGAAAGAGAGGGGGAGTGAGGGAGGGAGGGAGGGGGGAGGGAGGGGGAAGGAGGGGGGAGAGAGGGAGGTAGGGAGGGAGAGGGAGAGTGGGGAGAGAGGAAAGGAGAGGGAGAGGGGGGAGAACGAGAGGGAGAGAGAGAGAGAGAGCCAAATAATTTTGTTGTAAGACCTGGCAGTGATATGTGTTCTTAAAAGCTTGCAAAATAACAAATTTGCACTTCATGCTATTTTCATATTCATATATTTTCAGCTATATCTTCATGGATATCCATATAATAGGAGTAGAACTTAATGATACACTCAAGCCTTAACGCATAAAATATGGCACTTAATACAAAACCATGGCATGTATGTTTACAGCATTGTGTTACCATTAAAACAAGTGTAAAATATAATTATTCCGAGTTGTAATGACAGAGAAATATTCATTTATATACATCACATCAGACACTATGGCAGAAATCGAAACAGAAAAGTTTTTTCTTCTTTTCACAATGATTGACTGCCTGTGTGCGAAATGGGTGAATGTATGCAAAACATCTACTGTTAGTATTTACTGTGATATATCTTTCCTACTAAAGGAAACCTTAAATTGGTACAATTTTCTATGCTTGAGAAATTGTGAGAAATTACTAGGATTATGCCCGCAATTGGATGCGAAATGCGCAAACGCTGTGTACTGCATAACACCACTGAGCTACGTGTCAACAAATCCAGGCCCTTGTGTATCGAAGTATAAATGTTATTTTCAACATCGCGGCAATTCCAACTATCACTGACAGTTGACAGCTCTAGGAGGGTTGATGCTGATAGATTCTGGCATAATGAATACCGCGAACATGCTTGGTTGGTTCATGTGTCTGACGTCATCAGTAAATGTACGTTTAAAGGGCCACAGCTCCCTACACCAAACGCAGGCAATCAAAACGCTCTGAAAGTTCATATGCATCGGTATATGGAGAAATATGCATGCACAGAGGTGGCACCTAGTGTTAGCCATCAAATAAGAATGAAAATAAACAAGTGCCGCGGAGCGACAGTGCTCATCTAACGTCTACTGCGGTGACTCTGTGGTGGAGTGGTGGGATTCTAGTAAACCCTGTTAGTCCCAAATGTGCTCACATACGCGCCGAAACAGTGGAAGGCACAGGGATGGTATCAGGAACCTTCTCAAAGGAATGTTCGTTGGGATCGTTATGAAAGTTGCCACGAGATGGCGCGTACGTTTAAGTGTCTTAAGATTAAATGATGGAAGCTCCCCATTCGTACGGTAGTACAACATTACTATCTTGCCATAGACAGCGAATATAATGTCACTTCATCCATTCTACCTATCGCAAGGCGTATCAGAGCTGAAATAGAGTAGCTGCCACCTGTACCCTTAAGATACGGCAGGCAAAAAATTAAGAATGCACGTACTTTGATCGACCCACCATCATGCAGCGTGCAGTGGCTTACTGCAGTGGGCATAAGTAGCCATGTAACCGACTGACTACTATGATTGCCTTATAGGAAATTTATGACGATCTTAAGGAGCATAAACCTCTTCATACACAAATTAGCTTTGAAATTTCACTTGTGACCTGTGCCGTCATACACTCAGGCATGTAAGATCTAGCTAGCAAACCAGTCGAGTTCAAATTCTTCTAACAAGTGAACACAACTTCCATTGTCTTAACCCTCCCGTTGTAAGGTCAAAGAAGTTTATTCAATCACTTACTCTTGCACATGTCAGCTGGAAGTAACATTTCCATGGTCTCTTTCTTAATAAAGTCATAACAATGGTAGGTCACTCTACTAAAACAAAAAGAGTTTTTCAAAGCTCGCGTTTTCGTCTTCAGGACCATGCCGGCTCAGTAAAATGTCTAAAAGATCTGCCGCTGTGCCCCGCATTAACGCTTTGACGCTGGGACGCGCCAATATTTCGGCATCACGTGATGGCTTTTCCTAGCCCGCATTGATGTCTATTAGCATTCGGACTGATCAACCGAACTGCTAGAGGTCGATGGGCCGTTTAGGATTGTGCCGCAGCCAATTCTGCATTTCCTCCCTATACCTTAAGTTAAGGAGGGAATGTTCCCCCTTCTTTTACACCTCTTGACCTTTGACCTTTGAACCCCAGCTTCGACATCCCAACTCGTTTTCGGATTACCCCCCACGTCCCGAATATCGTGACCACACGTCGAGCGGTTAAAATTTGTGCCCAACTGTTGACGCACGCACTCACGGACGGACGATCATGCGATTCTACAAGCTGCATCTGACTACGTCATATGAGCTAAAAATAAATGAAATTTTGCATAAAACCTTGAGTGTATCCTTAAGAATTTCCGAATGGGTCAAGGTATGGGAACCAATTGGTAATGTGAATAGGTAAGATGGGAAGGGATTCTATAGCGTCATTTGTTCTAAGAGAGAAAGATACACAGAGAGAGTGAGAGAGAAAGAGATAGAGAGCAAGTAAGTAAACAACAATTAGAGTGAGAGATAGGAATGAAAGAGTAAGCGCATCAATTTATATAGAAACTTAAGGTATGAACATTGTAACCATTGTAACCGGCAAATCTTTCTCCTATTTCACACACCCATTTTGAATTGAACTGCGAGGGTCCTTCGAATGCTTCACATTAATCATTATGACGGCGAATAAGAAGAAGAAGCATGTCAGTGAGAAGCAGATCCGATACACGGCCCTGTATCCAGCAAGCTTGCTGCAGTCCACCAGTCCCTCATGTCCCAATGTGCCCAGTGCATCGTTGATGCCCTCCTCTGAGCCCTCACATAGAGCTGGAATCTTGAAGATTTAATCGATACATAAAATCACACAGTCAATCACAAGAAAATTATACGACACAGTAACCAGTATTATTTCTAGATAATATTTTACTAATGCTGCTTTTTTACTAATTGCAGTGCTATAGTTATTCGACCATCAACACATGTATTCATAACAAATTCAATCATACATTAAGCAGGCACCATGCAAACAGCACATCTGATCAAATGAATTGAAGTTTTATATTCTACCTTGGCGAGTTGATCTTGTAGGCCAGGTATCAACATGAGGCATGCTACAAAAGAGCCTATGAGGAGTATCACTGCATACATAATTCGAGACGAGGTGGAATTCTTGCAGTTTGGGCAGCAGCCACAGCAAAGACTGGCTGCTGCACTTCCACAACATGTTCCCAGCTGACAAAACAAAGAAAAATTTATCCAGTAAATACTATATCCTCTGGGTCTAGAAGCACAGTGAAAGATTTGGGTACCATAGCTCGACATAACAGTAATATATTCGAGCAAAATCTCATGCTTTGCCCACTTTTATGACACTCACCGTTATTGCATCAGCAATTGTTTAGAGTAATGATAAAATGTCTTAGGACCTTCGTATTCACCAAAACAGGCACGATTACAATTTTGATTAGTGTTTTTTATTTCCGCTGCCATTTCTCAGACTTTCTCGCGATAGCGCGAGACATCGACCAGAGTGCAGTAAATTAATGCAAATAATCGCATCGCAGCAATGTTGGTGTGAGTGCAAACACAGAGGTTAATGCTAGCGTAACAGTAATTCTCCGAGATCCAAAGTACACGGCCTACTGCTTCCACAGTTGTTTGATTCGTGCTAGTCTAACATTAACAACAAACTCGCTCACAAAAGCACTTCGCTGCTGCGCTTCACTGCATACGACAAGTCAATAATTTTTACTACACAGAATCAAATGCCCTTTTGTGTTAATCAGGTGCAGTTACTATGAAGGCGCCATTTGTTTTTAGATTGCCTGGACACAATAACATGCGGAGCTGGTATGATGTCTTCAAATCCAGTTTTCTATGCAATAACTGCATAAAATCATAACTAGTGTTTTTAAAGTTGGTGTAATCAGTGATATATCCACTGTGAGGTGAGACTATATTTCGCTATATTTTTTCGGATTTACCATTTCTGAGCAATGTTTTCATAATAACAAATTTAAACAGAGATTATTACATGTGTGTAATCAGCAAGATATAAAATATTGCCACAGCTATTGTCACTTTGATAGGAGGCACTGCGGCGCACCGCCGTTGCAAAATTTAACAACGCCGTTGTGAAAATGTTCCTGTATTTACCCGCCGTTGTGAAAATAGTGTCAATCCTTCTGACTATATACATGGAAAATCGTAATGAAAGTCACAGCAACATTTCTTTTTGCATGCCGGCACACTCCTGTGTCATCCCTGATTACAGCTTTTTGCTCAATTCTGGGAAAGTTTTGCTGTCGCTCCCTCATACCAGCGGTGCCCACCCCTACATATACAGCAATAACCACACCCACACGACTGTAACAATCAGTGCATTCAACCTCCCCCCCCCCCCCCCGTACTTCAATCAATGCCGCCCAGCCAGCAAGCACGAGCCACGATGTGCACAGCCACGAACATGGGTAACAGGGTTGTCGCGGGCTGCTTTTTTCCTTTTTTTAATTCCTTACTTCTAATATCTATTGCAATAATAACACTATAGCCAATGTAAAATCGGTCGATTGTGCAGAGAGGACATTACACGCCGAGCCGCCACGGTTTTTCGCTCATATTGTAACCGGTATGGCCAGCGGCACCGGGATTGTAGGTAACATTGCTATATTTAGACCAAAACGCGGAACCCTGAGCCTCTATACTGCTCTTCTCACTATTTATGTTGATGAGTGCATTTCTGGTATCGCCAATTGCAATGGCGGCCGTGTGTTTACAGTTGATATGCTTCAAGTGCCTGTGCCCGCACGTACAGCACACGCGCGGCGCCATTGACTATATATATACAACATGGTGTCGAACTCGCGGCAGTCGCCGCCGCAGTTTCACAAACTCACCGTTTTAAATCAGTTACACTCCCGTGTCCTGCAAGGTGACGCCACTTTCCAACTATCGTTGGATCAGCGGAACATTGCTATAACAATACACACCGCTAATTTTGACAATCGGCCGCCAGAATGCGCTTAAATCACGAAATGCCTCAAATATACTTGCTAAATGATACTTAGCCTGCTACAGGATAACGGCGGCGGCTGCTGAACGTTGGCGGCTGCGCATACCATGAGTACTGACTCACCCGCGATGTCAACAGCGTAGTCTGCAGCCTGTCTTGCCGCATTAAACTTGCTGCAGCCGAATCAGCGCAGCCCACCAACGTTTCAGCCAGCCGCCGCCTTATCCCTGTAGCAGGCTAAGTATCATTTAGCAAGTATATTTGAGGATTTCTGTGATTTAAGCGCATTCTGGCGGGCCGATTGTCAAAATTGCGGTGTATATTGTTAAGCAATGTTCCGCGATTCCAACGATAGTTGGAAGTGGCCGCCGTCACCTGCAGGAACACGGGAATTGTAACTGATTTAAAACGGTGATTCGTGGAAACTGCGGCGGCGGACTGCCGGTGAGTTCGACACCATGTTGTATATATATAGTCAATGGCGCCGCGGTGTGCTGTACGTGCGGCTTGATCTTGCTGCCAGTGGCAATTGTGGCGCAATCAGCAGCGTTGATCTAGTCGATTTGATCCACTTCTCTCTCCATCTTCGTTATTAGATTATAGTCCTAGGACTTTGGAAGACTATATTAAATAATAGTAGCCCTACTATTTATTGAGGTTTAACTTATGAGGTGAATCAGTGACAGTCTGGCATCTTGATGTGACCAGGGGCCGGGCCAGTTAGCCAAAATACGTCATCGTTCTCTATTAAAATCGAAAAATAACCCTGCACCTAATGAATTATTTCTTACCAAGCAACCTATCCTAAGACAGACTCGTTGCTGTATACGTCCACTGCTGTTAAAAATCTCGTCGTATAAACGCGACAAAAACGAGTACTCCGTAAAATGTTGGCGAACAATCTCTCACAAACAAAGAAACGAATATGGCGTAGATCCTACTGTTTTGTTTTGTTATTTCGGTGTGGTAAACAAACGTAATGCCCGGATATAATGAGAATTAACGTACTGGATGAAATATATGCTGGCCTATAAGTGTGATTATATTATTGTAATAAATACTATCTTTCTTTTAGTTTTTTATTTTTGTGTATAGTCATAGTTAATTTTAGTTTTATTAATCCTACTGAAAAATACGTGTAGTAAAATTGTACCTGACGTCAGTCCACATTAGCCACAGTGATTTAGCTCTCGTTAAATGACTGGCCATTGTCTCCATAACACATGACTGTTTGCGAAGTTTAGAGGCACTGTGATCGTCTAACTACAGAACATCCTGTTAGCGATGGAAATGTGACTCCGCGTTCACGGCTATGGCCTTATCAACAACTTGGTGTTGTGTGGTGTAAGTTTATTTGTGGTTTACGTAATAATACGTACCTATGTACTTGCGCAGCTTAGCAATACACGCGTGTTTTGGCCGTTGTCAGCACGAAGAACTGCAAGCTCAGTACACTAATACTAATAGTAATCATACTAATGTATAGTAAAGTACTCAGGGCCGGACGCAGCAGGGGGGCAGCGCCAGCAGGGGCAGTTGCCCCCTAGAAATTTTCGAGTATGCCTTTTAAATGGGACAAATACTGTACACTTTTTAGAAATAAAATAGAAATGTGACAAAAGGTTTATCTTACATACAATCAAAGAAATATTACACTTTAAATAAAGAAATCGTGAATGCGAAACTTTAGGGAACAGGGGGCATGGGGAATACTTTTGCCCCCCTACAGAAAATTTCCTGCGTACGGCCTTGATAGTACTAATAGTACACTAATTACAATGTAACCCAACACAAGTCATGAGTCAAGACTCGAGGGCGGTATTTTGAGGTCATCTGACGTAGTCAGGTACAGCTTGTAGAATCGCATGATCGTTCGTCTGTCCGGCCCGTCGTGCGTCTGTCAACAGGTTGGGCACATCTAAACGGCTCGACGTACGGATTCGAAAGTCGGACGTGGGGGGGGGTAATTCGGAAAACGAGTTGGGATGTTGAAGCTGGGGTCAAAGGTCAAAGATCAAGCAGTGTAAAAGAAGGGGAACATTCCCACCTTAACTTAAAGGCGACAGTAGCCTCTAGGATTTTAACTGCATACAACTGTACTTACTGTATAACAAACGTCTATACCTACATGTATTTGTCACCAGATACTTATTAATTATTTACACAATCAACGCTACGAAATGTTGAACGGCGCCATGACACCGCGGACCGTGCGGCCACCCTGAAAAAGTTGCGTATTTGCATTTTTATTTTCAGGTAAATGACGGCGAGCTTAATCACAAAGTGCAATTATATTTATACCTAAATGGTATTTAACAACGGACGTATTCTTTAGGGCAAATTTTCCCTATTTATAACTGAAACTATATGTCGTTTATAAGATATTACAATACTTTTGCTTTTAAATGAATAAATAGAAATACCCTCGGCTGTAGCCCTTGGCTGGAAGTGGTTTTGCGCAACTTCTCAGATCGTTGCGCTTTGAGTGGCGCCACCGTCGTTGTAATCAAACTGTAGTCGTTAGTTTTAAAACATTTTTTTTAAATTATTTCTAATGGTGATTGAACATGAAACTTTTTATGTAGCGCAATTATAACCTAAATTAGCTGAAAATAACCCTAGAACCTAGAGGGCTACTGGTTCCTTTAAGGATATGGGGGAAATGCAGAATTGCGGCACAAATCTAAACGGCTCGACCTAGGCTCGTGATAGGCGGTGTATATAGACATCATGGTAGGAAAAGCCATCACTGTGCCGAAATTGGGGTCAAAGGTAATGGGGCACAGGGCAGATTTTAGACATTTTCTGAGGACATGGTTGACGGATGTGTATGAAAACTTTTTTGTTTCAGCCAGTGACCTACCATTTTTATGGCTTTATTGAAAGGACCATGAAATGTACTTTCCGCTGACATGCGAAGAGTAAGTGTTGGATAAGCTTTTGACCTCAAGAGGAGGTTAAACATGGATTTGTTTACTGTTAGAAAGAATTTGACTGCCGGGTTTGCTAGTAGAACTATACATGCCTGTGACGTATGAGGCTACAATGTCACAGTGAAATTTCAAAAGCTCTATTTGGTTGAAGAAGTTTATGCTCCCTTAAATATTGTACTGCATTGTATGGTGGCATTCTGTACTGTCAGTGTGTTACATGTAACTTATGCCACTGCCAGTAGCCACTGCCAGTGCTGCAGTGAATGTGGTGGTGATAGTACTGTGTAGTTTTTGCCTGCGTTAATTAGTTACAGGTGGCAGCTCTCTATTTCAACCTGTAGGCTTGCGTAGGTAAATGGATGAGTGCTTACCTATTCTGTCTTGCAAATAGTTGTTGCTACTACGTACGATGGGAGCTTCCATCTTTAATCTGAAGACACTAAAACGTGCGCGCCATCTCGTGGCAACTTTCATAATGATCCCAACGAACATTCCTTCGAGAAGGTTCTTGATACCATCCCTGTGCGTTCCACTGTTTCGGCGCGTATGTGAACACATTTGGGACTAACAGGGTTTACTAGAATCCCCCCACTCTACCACAGAGTCACAGCAGTAGACGTGAGATGAGCGCTGTCACTCCGCGGCACTTGTTGGTTCATGGAGCGCTGACCACAATTCATTTTCGCAATGTGCAAATGTGCAAATGTGGACAGATCTTATATCCTTGGGTCATATTTTCTCGTGTTGAGTTTTGTGTTGGCAGTTGGGTTACGTTTATTATTGTATTTATAGTTCCTACTACTACTAGTACTAGTACTATAGATACAATAATGTAACCCAAACACAGGATAGGGTTACAATGCGAGCCTATGGTTTTCTGTGGAGGAACCCCTGAGTGAATCACTCAGGGCGGTTTGCTGGTGCGTTTTCAGAGACTAGAACTTCCAACCTGGGTTTATTCTCAACACGAACTTTTCTTCGCTATCCTGGAACTTACTATGTATCACAATACTCTGTATTAAACAAATATAACGTGTTACAAAAATTCGAAATGACGAGTGGCGGATATATTGAGCCCCATTTTTGTTGACCTGTGACGTACGCATTCCCAATGCGCATAGCGGTCGCCCCACCTAGGCCACCACCAAACGCTATGCGTATTTTTGTAACACGTTATATTAGTTTAATACAGAGTATTGTGATACATAGTAAGTTCTAGGATAGCGGAGAAAGGTTCGTGTTGAGAATAAACCCAGGTTGGAAGCTCTAGTCTCTGAAAACGCACCAGCAAACTGCCCTGAGTGATTCACTCAGGGGTTCCTCCACAGAAGACCATAGGCTCGCATTGTAACCCTATCCTGTGTTTGGGTTACATTATTGTATCTACTAGTACTAGTGCAATGGTTGTTATTTATTTACCATGTATGATTTAAATAGGTGAGCGGGCATTTACCGTCACTGTTGGCAGGAGGAGTATATATAATCTATGTGAGATTTTATTTAATATCTTTGTTATTATTTTACTCCTGCCAAGTGCTGTCAGGCATATAGGCTATAGACCTGTGCAGTGGGAGTACCGGTTAACTCGACCCACCCGCCAATTCGGCTTGCACTGTGGCGACTGCTTGCCTGGGCTGGAGGTCGGGCAGCTATAGACTCGCCGGATAACTCATTTGAGATCTTTCACACTCTCCGACGTCGAAACACATGTTATTATTATTAGTAAATCTTTATTGCATACAAATTACAATTCAAATACAAATACATGTACTGAAAACAGTCTCATAGATGGAGAAAAAATTTGATGAATCCAAATATAGTGTTGTCAGAGCAATTAAAATAATATAATTGATAAGTTTCCTTGATTTTAGTACAATATTTGTAAGGTATGGGAGGGGATTATTTCTGTGTGATTTTTTAAGGTGGTTGATGTATTTGTATGTAAATATAAGTGTCTGGTATTTAATTAGATATTCTATGGAGGCATTTTTTGTTGTTCTCTAATTCTTATAGCTGTACCTGCATGTCTATAGCTAGCCTGTGAGTCCAGCTGCCCGATCTCCAGGCAGGTCATCTAGACCCACAAGCCGAGCAGGCCGACCTCCAGTCGGGTAATCTCGACACACGAGTCGAGTTTGCCGGTGAGGCGAGTTGACTACGGGTCACCCTGTGGTGGGAGCGAGGGCTACATAGGCAGAGTTAGGTCAAGGGATGCATGTAAATCGACTTAATATTTACCTATTTCATCTAATATCTACCAGTCACAATATGTCCTGTCACAGGAGGTACTGAGGCAGTGTTGTAAATATTAACATTTTAATTTTATCAGTTGTTGATTGCTGTAATACGTAATATAGGTACATTATTTCTGATCCTTAAAAGGCCTACTGATGCATGCCAGGGTAGGCAGTAAACATGCAAGCAGAAAGAAAAAATAAAGCGTAAGTTTTTCTGCTTGATTGTACTAACAACTCGTTCCTTGTCCAGCAAGCATTGTTGCAGACACTATCTTTTACATTGGCTCAATTGAGCAATTGATTTATGTTACTTTTTTCACCAAAAGATGTATATTTGTATTATATCTAGACAACTACTCTAATAAAGTATTATATTTATTCTGTAATCTTTGTACAACTGTGGGTTTGCTTATCAGCTTTTGAGTAGCCTTGGAAGAAGTTTTGTGTGCTAGATTAACTAACCTCAACATTTATGTTCAAGCATCTAATGTTTGTTAAAGTAAAGGAGTAAATATATGTCTATAATGACATCTTTACCTTATTTCTCTTATCTGTTTCTTTACTCTTTACCTTTCACCACATTTGTGTCCAATTCTCCGATCTAAATTTACAGTTCTTAGGATAGTCCTTCAACAGCTATTCACCAAAGCATTCACCGGCAACATCGTCAACCTATGGCAATATTTTTAATGCTTAATGCAAATAATAATAGTTTTTAATAATAATAGTGACAGTATAGCTGAATTATACATGTGTGCTTCATGTGCAAATATGTAAGGTGTGTATCAGAAGTGCTAGAAGTTCTGGTACCAGAGGTGGATTATACAAGTGTGTAATTATCTCCCTCTCATTAGTACACCAGCTATTTGTGAAACTGTGGTCTTGAATCATTGTACGCATTTCTCAATAAAGCCTAGTCTTTTTGACAGTAGTTTTTAAGAATGTAAAAGGGATTCACTGCAAATTTTCATTGATAATGTTATCGTCACTGTATGGCTTTTTACATGGCTATTTTGAAGTTGGTTTGATATTTAAAAAATTAAATAATTATTATTTAAGTTCATTAGTAAGATTTGTGTCAATAAGTGTATAATTTTATCATAATTACAGAAATCTGAAAGTCATAATTCTAGGAGAATTTAATGTTGGAAAGACTTCGCTAATCAAACGATATAAGGAAGGCAAGTTCGACCCACAAGAGGAGCCAGTAAGATTTTAAATAATTATTATTATGTAATCACCCATATTAGCTATGCAGCCTAGTATGCTTCTATGCTTCTGTACTTTGCCCATGAGTACAATGCTGTGTATATCGCACACACACCTAGTTCAATGTATACATCCAAATATCTTTGTATCTGTGGAAGCTAATTCAGTAGGATTACATGATGTACATAGTGATAGCCGAGGCATACTTTAGTATAGCCCTAAAGAATGTTATACTTTGACAGTTTTGAAATATGTAACAGAGAATTTTCATGGGGTATTATATATAATGCAGTATGTTATCATCACCAAAAATTGCTTTCCTATGTTCCAGACTATTGGGGCTTCTTTCTACTTAAAGCGATGGGGACCGCACAATGTTGCCATCTGGGTAAGTCTTACAAAGATGTCTGTTTGTACTCCTTGCTGAATCGTTGTTTTTCAATTCCATCCATATGCTTTATATGATCTTGCATGCATTTGGTTAGCATTTGGTCTGACTGCTGGTCTTGGAATGTGGGATTGCATAGTCATTTTCAAGGTGTGCTACATCTCAATTAGTATAAAACGGGTGTATATAAAACGAATACTGTATATATTGCGCAGCCGCCAACGGTTCAGCCAGCCGCCGCCTTATCCTGTAGCAGGCTAAGTATCATTTAGCAAGTATATTTGAGGCATTTCTGTGATTTAAGCGCATTCTGGCGGGCCGATTGTCAAAATTGGCGGGTGTATATTGTTAAGCAATGTTCCGCGATTCCAACGATAGTTGGAAAGTGGCGTCACCTGCAGGAACACGGGAGTTGTAACTGATTTAAAACGGTGAGTTGTGGAAACTGCGGCGGCGACTGTCGGTGAGTTCGACACCATGTTGTATATATATAGTCAATGGCGCCGCGCGTGTGCTGTACGTGCGGGCTTGATCTTGCTGCCAGTGGCCAATTGTGGCGCAATCAGCAGCGTTGATCTATCGATTTGATCCACTTCTCTCTCCATCTTCGTTATATAGATTATAGTCCCTAGGACTTTTGAAGACTAATATTAATAATAGTAGCCTACCTATTTATGAGGTTATAACTTATGAGGTGACTCAGTGACAGTCTGGCATCTTATGTGACCAGGGCAGATTAGCCAAAATACGTCATCGTTCTCTATTAAAATCGAAAAATACCCTGCACCTAATGAATTATTTCTTACCAAGCAACCTAATCCTAAACACATCGTTGCTGTATACGTCCACTGTGTTAAAAATCTCGTCGTATAAACGCGACAAAAACGAGTACTCCGTAAAAATGTGCGAACAAATCTCTCACAAACAGAAACGAATATGGCGTAGATCCTACTCGTTTTGTTTTGTTATTTCGGTGTGGTAAACAAACGTAATGCCCGGATATAATGAGAATTAAACGTACTGGATGAAATATATGCTGCCTATAAGTGTGATTATATTATTGTAATAAATACTATCTTTCTTTTAGTTTTTTATTTTTGTTGTTAGTCATAGTTAAATTTTAGTTTTCTATTAATCCTACTGAAAAATACGTGTAGTAAAATTGTACCTGACGTCAGTACATTACATTAGCCACAGTGATTTAGCTCTCCGTTAAATAGACTGGCACATTGTCTCCATACACCAATGACTGTTTGCGAAGTTTAGAAGGCACTGTGATCGTCTAACTACAGAACATCCTGTTAGCGATGGAAATGTGACTCGCGGTTCACGGCCTTATCAACAACTTGGTGTTGTGTGGTGGTAAGGTTTATTTGTTTGGTTTACGTAATAATACGTACCTATGTACTTGCGCACGTTAGCATACACGCGTGTTTTGGCCGTAGTCAGCGAAGAAACTGCAGGCTCAGTACACTAATACTAATAGTAATACTACTAATGCTATAGTAATAGTACTCAGGGCCGTACGCAGCAGGGGGGCAGCGCCAGCAGGGGCAGTTGCCCCCCTAGAAATTTTCAGAGTATGCCTTTTAATGGGACAAATACTGTACACTTTTAGAAATAAAATAGAAATGTGACAAAAGGTTATCTTACATACCAATCAAAGAAATATTACACTTTAAATAAAGAAATGTGAAATTGCGAAACTTTAGGGAACAGGGGGCATGGGGAGTACTTTTGCCCCCCTACAGAAAATTTCCTGCGTACGGCCTTGATAGTACTAATAGTACACTAATTACAATGTAACCCAACACAAGTCATGAGCCAAGACTCGAGGGGCGTATTTTGAGTCATCTGACGTAGTCAGGTACATGCTGTAGAATCGCATGATCGTTCGTCTGTCCGGCCGTCCTGCGTTCTGTCAACAGTTGGCCAATCTAAACGGCTCGACGTACGGCAGTTCACGAAGTCGGCACGTGAGGGCGCGGGGCGTAATTCGGAAACGGACTTGGGATGTTAAGTAGCTGGCGGTCCAAAGCCAAAGATCAAAGCAGTTTAAAAGACAGGGGAACATTCCACCTTAACTTAACAGGCGACAAGTAGCCTCTAGGTTTACTGCCATGACAACTGTTACTTACTGTATTAACAAGATCGTCTATACCTACAGGTATTGTCACCAGATACTTAATAATTATTTACACTCAACTGCCTACGAAAATGTTGAACCGGCGCCATGACACCCCGGACCGTGCGGCCACCCTTGAAAAAGTTGCGTATTTGCATTTTTATTTCAGGTAAATTGACGGCGACTAATCACAAAAGGTGCCAATTATATTTATACCTAAATGTATTAATAACGGAACGTATATCTTTAGGGCAAATTTTCCCTTATTAAACTGAAACTATATGTCCGTTTAGTATATTACTCAATCACTTTTGCTATTAAATGAATAAATAGAAATACCCTCTGGCTTGTAGCCTTGGCTGGAACGTGGTTTTGCGCAACTTGCTCAGATCGTTGCGCTTTGAGGGCGCCACCGCGTTGTAATCAAAACTGTTAGTCGTGAGTTTTAAAACATTTTTTTAAATATTTTATATGGTGAGTTAACCATGAAACTTTTTACTGTAGCGCAATTATAACGCTAAATTAGCTGAAAATAACCCTAGACCTGGAGGCACCTCGTTCCTTTAAGGATGATACGGGAGGAATTGCAGAATTGCGCACAAATCTAAACGGCTTCGACTAGGCTCCGTGTATAGGCGGCCTGATATATAGTACATCAGGTAGGAAAGCCATCACTTGCCGAGAATTGGCGAGGTAAAGGCAATGGGCACAGGGCAGTTTTAGCATTTTTGAGGACACATGTGTTGACGATGTGTATGAAAAACTTTTTTGTTTCAGCATGACCTACCATTTTTATGGCCTTTTTGAAAAGCGACCATGAAATGTACTTTCTCGCCTGCATGCGAAGAGTAATGTGTGTGTAACTTTTGACCCTCAAGAGGACGGTTAAACATGGATTGTTTACTGTTAAGTAAAGATTTGACTGCCGGGGTTTGCTAGTAAGAAGTCTATACAGCGTGACGTATGAGGCTACAATGTCCAATGTGAAATTTCAAAAAGCTACATATTGGTTGAAGAAGTTGTATGCCCTTAAATATTGTACTCATTGTATGATGCATTCTGTACTGTCAGTGTGTTACATGTAACTTATGCCACTGCCAGTAGCCATGCCAGTGCTGCAGTGAATGTGTTCGTTTGATAGTACTGTCTAGTTTTGCCTGCTCATTAATTATGTTAAGGTGGCAAGGCTCCTCTATTTCAACTGTTAGGCTTGCGTAGGTAAATGGAAGCTTACCTCATTCGCTTGCAAAGTATTGTTGCTACTACGTACGATGGGAGCTTCCATCTTTAATCTGAGACACTAATAACCGTGCGCCGCAATCTCGTTGGACAACTTTCATAAATGATCCAACGACCATTCCTTCGAGAATCGTTCTTGATCCATCTCTGTGCTGTTCACTGTTTCGGCGCCTGTATGTTGAACACATTTGGGCTAACAGGGTTTACTATGATTCCCCCCCCCCCACTCTACCACAGGCTACAGCGAAGTGACTGAGATGCAGCGCTGTCGACTCCGCCGGATTGTTGCGTTCATGTCGATCGCTGACCACAACTGTCATTTCGCAGGTGCAAAATCCAACGCCCTGCAAGCAAACTATCGTGCAAATGTGGACAGATCTTATATCCTTGGGTCAATATTTCTCGTGTTGAGTTTTGTGTTGGGCAGTTGGGTTACGTTTATTATTGTATTTATAGTGTCCTATACTATCTAGTACTATACTATAATACAAATAATGAAACCCAAACACAGGATAGGGTTACAATGCGAGCCTATGGTTTTCTGTGGAGGAACCCTGAGTGAATATCACTCAGGCGGTTGCGTGGCTTTTCAGAGACAGAACTTCCAACCTAGGTTATTCTTCAACACAACTTTTCTTCGCTATCCTGGAACTTACTATTGTATCACAAATACTCTGTATTAAAACAATATACGTGTTACAAAATTCGAAATGACGATAGTGCGATATATTGAGCCCCATTTTTGTTGACCTGTAACGTACGCATTCCCAATGCGCATATGCGTTCGCCCACCTAGCACCACCAAACGCTATGCGTATTTTTGTAACACCGTTATATTAGTTTAATACACAGTATTGTGATACATAGTAAGTTCTAGGATAGCGGAGAAACGGTTCGTGTGGAGAATAACCCAGGTTGGAGCTCTAGTCTCTGAAAGCAACGCACACAACTGCCCTGAGTGATTCACTCAGGGGTTCCTCCACAGAAGACCATAGGCTCGCTATTGTAAACCCTATCCTGTGTTTGGGTTACATTATTGTATCTACTAGTACTAGTGCAATGGTTGTTATTTATTTACCATGTATGATTAATAGGTGATCGGGCATTTTACCGTCACTGTTGCGCAGGAGAGTATATATAAATCTATGTGGAGATTTTTATTTATATCTTTGTTTATTATTTACTCCTGCCAAGTGCTGTCTAGGCATATAGGCTATAGAACCTGTGCAGTGGAGTACCGGTTAACTCGACCCACCCGCCAATTCCGCTTGCACGGTGGCGATGCTTGCCTGGGCTGGAGGTCGGCAGCTATAGACTCGCCGGATAACTCATTTGAGATCTTTCACACTCTCCGACGTCGAAACACATGTTATTATTATTAGTAAATCTTTATTGCATACAAATTACAATTCAAATACAAATACATGTACTGAAAACATTCTCATAGATGGAGAAAAAATTTGATGAATCCAAATATAGTGTTGTCAGAGCAATTAAAATAATATAATTGATAAGTTTCCTTGATTTTATACAATATTTGTAGTATGGGAGGGATTATTTCTGCTTGATTTTTTAAGGTGGTTGATGTATTTGTATGTAAATATAAGTGTTCTGGTATTTAATTAGATATTCTATGGAGGCATTTTTTGTTTGTCTCTAATTCTTATAGCTGTACCTGCATGTCTATAGTAGCCTGTGAGTCCAGCTCTGCCCGATCCTCAGGCAGGTCATCTAGACCCACAAGCCGAGCATGCCGACCTCCAGTCGGGTAATCTCGACACACGAGTCGAGTTTGCCGGTGAGGCAAGTTGACTACGGGTCACCCTGTTGGTGGGAGCGAGGGCTACATAGCAGAGTTAGGTCAAGGATGCATGTAAATCGACTTAATATTTACCTATTTCATCTAATATCTACCAGTCACAATATGTCCTGTCACAGGAGCTACTGAGGCGCAGTGTTGTAATATTAACATTTTTATTTATCAGTTGTTGATTGCCTGTAATATAGTTACATTATTTCTGATCCTTAAGGCCTACTGATGCATGCCAGGGTAGGCAGTAAACATGCAAGCAGAAAGAAAAAATAAAGCGTAAGTTTTTTCTGCTTGATTGTATAACAACTCGTTCCTTGTCCAGCAAGCATTGTTGCAGACACTATCTTTTACATTGGCTCAATTGAGCAATTGATTTATGTTACTTTTTTCACCAAAAGATGTATATTTGTTATTATATCTAGACAACTACTCTAATAAAGTATATATTTATTCTGTAATCTTTGTACAACTGTGGGTTTGCTTATCAGCTTTTGAGTAGCCTTGGAAGAAGTTTTGTGTGCTAGCATTAACTAACCTCAACATTCATGTTCAAGCATCTAATGTTTGTTAAAGTAAAGGTAAATATATTGTCTATAATGACATCTTTACCTTATTTCTCTTATCTTTTTCTTTACTCTTTGCCTTTCACCACATTTGTGTCCAATTCTCCGATCTAAATTTACAGTTCTTAGGATAGTCCTTCAACAGCTATTACACCAAAGCATTCACCGGCAACATCGTCAACCTATGACAATATTTTTTAATAGTGACTAATAATAATAGTTTTTAATAATATAGTGACAGTGACTATAGCTGAATTATACATGTGTGCTTCATGGTGCAAATATGTAAGGTGTGTATGCAGAAGTGCTAGAAGTTCTGCGTACAGAGGTGGATTATACAAGTGTGTAATTATCTCCCTCTCATTAGTACACCAGCTATTTGTGAAACTGTGTCTTGAATCATTGTACGCATTTCTCAATAAAGCCTAGTCTTTTTGACAGTAGTTTTTAAGAATGTAAAAGGATTCACTGCAAATTTTCATTGATAATGTTATTCGTCACTGTATGGCTTTTTACATGGCTATTTTGAAGTTGGTTTGATATTTAAAAAATTAAATAATAATTATTATTTAAGTTCATTAGTAAGATTTGTGTGTCAATAAGTGTATAATTTTTTCATAATTACAGAAATCTGAAAGTCATAATTCTAGGAGAATTTAATGTTGGAAAGACTTCGCTAATCAAACGATATAAGGAAGGCAAGTTCGACCCACAAGAGGAGCCAGTAAGATTTTAAATAATTATTATTATGTAATCACCCATATTAGCTATGCAGCCTAGTATGCTTCTATGCTTCTGTACTTTGCCCATGAGTACAATTGCTGTGTATATCGCACACACACCTAGTTCAATGTATACATCCAAATATCTTTGTATCTGTGGAAGCTAATTCAGTAGGATAACATGATGTACATAGTGATAGGACGAGGCATACTTTAGTATAGCCCTAAAGAATGCTTATCTTTGACAGTTTTGAAATATGTAACAGAGAATTTTCATGGGGTATTATATATAATGCAGTATGTTATCAATCACCAAAAATTGCTTTCCTATGTTCCAGATTATTGGGCTTCTTTCTACTTAAAGCGATGGGGACCGCACAATGTTGCCATCTGGGTAAGTCTTACAAGAGTCTGTTTGTACTCCCTTGCTGAATCGTTGTTTTTCAATTCCATCCATATGCTTTATATGATCTTGCATGCATTTGGTAGCATTTTCTGACTGCTGGTCTTGGAATGTGGGGATTGCATAGTCATTTTCAAGGGTGTGCGTACATCTCAATTAGTATAAAACGGGTGTATATAAAACGAATACTGTATATATATATATATATATATATACAAGAGCGTATAAAGAAGGAGAGCGTACAACGGTGAAATGCTGAAACCATGTTGCAGTATTAGTTGAATTAAGAAATTTTGCCCGTTTTATTTTGACGATTCTTTGTGGTATTATTGATCAGCTGTCCTACCTTGCTAATATAAAACAAACTGCTTGTCCCTACGAATCACGATGTCCCTATGCTGAGATATTGAGCGGTGAAAATCTGGTAGTTTATTAATTCGACTAATACTGCAACATGGTTTCAGCATTTCACCGTTATACGCTCTCCTTCTTTATATGCTCTTGATATATATATATATATATATATATATATATATTCGTGCTGTTGGTGTTAGCATGTATTGTTGTCAAATCAGAAATTTTCTCTTTATTATACTAGGCTGTCTTGTATACGTAAGTGATATGATGACCAGCTATATACATTTCCTAGTTTATTTATGAATTTTGCAAATACTGTTTACATACTTAAACCTGCCACAATTCTAGTAATGTAGAATTATATTATTTACAATTGGAATTCCCATTACATTTTACAAAGGCAAGGATTTGCTTCCTCAAAGGCTGTTTCTGAAGCCTTGTAACTCTTGTTCCCACAATGCAATAAATATACAATAATAGCTGTGGTATGTCTGATCAGGATACAGCTGGGCAGGAGAGGTTCATGTCATTGAGTGCACTGTACTGCCGTGGAACCAAAGCTGCAATTCTTGCCTTTGACATTTCACAGAAGGATACATTCAACCAGCTGGAGTAAGAACTATGATAGTGGATATTCGTGGAGACTTTTACAAATTAGTTTTACCTTTACGACCATGATATTCATTCTTCCTTAGTTCATATTTCTAATTTCAATGACTTGAATGCAAAATATGTGAAAGTAATTAACGAATATACATAGTAAAATATCATATATGAGTATCTGGGTAGCTAATTTGTACTGGTCTGTAAATATCCAGTGGGAAGAGCCATACATGAAACAGACACCATTTTCTAACGAGCACTTATGGATATATATTCATAGATAGATGCATAGCATATTGTATACATATGTTCACGCTAATACAGTTGTCCCCACTTTATCAGGGCTCTGATAAACATGCATGTCGCTTAAACAACATGTATTTGAAAAACAATTCTTGTGCACTTTATTTTAATTGGGTAAGGGAGACATGACCTTGTTCAAATGGGGCGTTTTCTATTGAACAATCTTCCTTTTTCTCAAGTGAATGTTGTAAAACAATCCTATACTTGAAAGCAAGCTGATGATTTACAGCTTTTTAGCATATTCTGCATTGTAACGAGGTCACAAAACATTTTTAGAGATAAACGTACCATCCTTACGTGGCCTTAACTGGGACATAAGCATCTGTTCTGTACTGGGTGCATGCCTGTGTGATTGTGACCCGTTATATACAAGTGTGATGGGGTATTGTGTCAGGTATATGTCTGTTGTTGATCATAATTTCGATGTGATGATTTATGTTGTTTGCAGGAAACGGTTTCTACCATTGGTAAATTCCCATACTGAGGAGAATTGCCTGATTGTAATAGTAGGATGCAAGGTAGATGCTGTGCTTGAGTCTAATCGACAGGTGTGTGCAAACACTTTCCCACGTGAATGAACACATGCACATGTAAAACCATGTACTCACTCATGCACATACACAGATGCATGTACATTCATTCACCCAGGATTACATGCACAACGTTGTGCAGCACAGAACACTTATGCGTGCATTAATTCATGTACAATTATTGTTTTACACATCATTTGTTACTTGTTTGAGGTTACTTTATTGTTTTTCACTAATGTTCAGGTAAGCATTGTACTAGTGTTAAAAATATACATGCTATATTGTGGGCCAGTCTAAATTACCCATGTAATTCCTATAATTATTTTTATCTATTTCTGTATGATTTGTGTGCCAAAAACATGGCATGCCATCAGATTTTGTGTGTTATAGGATATACTGGCATGTTCACTAGTTCAGAAAATATTAGGGTAATTGATTGAAATACAATTATATTTTTCAGGTTCATCGTGAAACTGCCATTGCTTTAGCCCGTGAACTAAATCCTACATGGAAACCGGAGAAGCCTCCACCCTACTATGAAACTTCGAGTATTACAGGCGAGAACGTGAATGCCTTGTTTGAATTTATTTTCGAATATTTCCTTCCTTTGTCTGAATCTGAGAAGAATCAGTATAATCAGATGAATAAGCGGACTAAACACAGTGTCAGGGATGGCACTGTGGATTTGCAATCTAAATCCGTGTCTACCAAAAGAAAGTGTTGTAGTCTGTTATGAGTCAGTGAAACAACAGAGGGACCATCAGTTCAGTGTAAGAGTCTGTGATATAATCTTGATTTCTACAACTGCTCAGTCTACCTACTTAGGTGCTATAAAAGCCTAATCTTAATCGTGTGTATAAATTTTTTAGTTCATATTATAGTATACGTATCATTGTAATAGAATGTTACTGTTTGACCTACACAAAGGTGCTAGTACATTTTACAGCAAGTTTTTACTCAGCAAATATCATCTATATATTTTATATATAATATTTAAATGGAGCTTGTACGTTTTCGGGTAAAATGATACCTGTTAAAATCCAGGTAGCCCTCATTTGATATCGTTATTGCATTATTGGCCAGGAAGACCTATAATAGTAATACTACAGCACTATATTTCCTAAACATGTATAACGAGGAAAGCTGGTCATTTAAACAGTGCTCTCCATGTCGACTTAGAATGGGGAGTGATCTGTACTGCACAAGCTTTATAGCACATTGTTATCATTCTACACCAGTGTTATAACGAAAATCGGTTGCATGTTTAATAACAAGATATAATTTTTATGATGAATATATTAGGACTCCATGCATTAATTTGAAACAGCAAGAATGACTTTAATTAGCAACATTCCATCAGCAAGCATTTGCGTGGGACATGTTATGGTATTTTATGTATGTAAATTGTATTGTATGTTTACGTCCTGAAATTACAGTTATTCTACATCATACTAGACTGTTAAAGGTTTATGTATATGTGAATATCTAATATAGACATCAATTTTTAAGACGTTCTTGGCTGTAATTACTTTTTGAATAGCATTTCAGTGTGCGATAATTATGCCAACAGTTTGACAAAATTGTCGGTGTTTATTGCTAGGTAAAATTACGGTGGAGAGAGGGGAAGTGGAGGAGTGTGGAATGCATGAGAAAGACCTATCAGCAGACAAATAGAGTTTGGTGTGAGGGGTAGAGGAACAAACAGATAGGGGCAGTAAGAGAGAAGGAGCGAGCGAGAGTGAGCAAGGAACGTAGGACAGGGGGGGGGGGAGACAGAAGGTGAAAAGTAATGATCCATGTGCTCTAATTCATGCTCTGTGTTCATGAAAAATCATTCTAACTCATCTGGGAACGCTATCTGTAGAGTTTCTAGTAGAATTATTTTCCCAATACATTTGTTATTTATTTTATAAATTGCGTGTTCCAATTTTAGACATTTACATATCATTAGATACATTTCATGGCTATTTTATAGTCCCACAAAAATTTATAAAAGGCTATACAAATTTTGGATTGAGTATTTGTTAAAGATGAGTATTAAGTATCCATCCATATGAAGGATATTTGTCCGTTATCGTTTTGAATCTAGCTCTAACTGAGCAAACAATCCACCCAAAACAGGATACACGAGTTGTGGATCACAGGGCTACACAGCTAGAGCTATTCCACATCGTAACATAATTGTATTATACCAATTAGGTATTGTTACCTAATACGTTAGGTAATAGACTGCACACACATCTTGGATAACGAAAATATGTATTATTATGTACAACGCATGCTCATCCGTATTTAAGAGCCACCTCCGAACTTTATACAAGGGAATAGGTAACACCGCGAAATAGATTTCATTTTATTTTATATGAAGGCCAAGAGCTAATTTGTATATAGCTTTTGCTAGTTATCGAGACCTCTTCCCGGTGCTGAGTATTCCAGCAGTTGAGTGTTTTGTATCGACGGATCATTGGTGACGGCAATGTAAGCAAGTGCTAAGCGTTACCGTCATGGCACATAGGAACACACTCACGATAGTGATATCACACTTTGTTCAGCATGCAGTGCACGCGCTCGCATAGCAATAGTAATAACGTTGTATAGAAAGTTCAGCTGCCTTTAGTAACGGGCTCTGCGTATGTATTTACGCGTGTTCGTATGTAAAATAATGTAATATGTGCATGCCTGCGCGTGTGTTTGTACGTTCGTGTGTTTGTGCGTGCGTGCGAATGTATGTATATAACTGTGCAACTCAGCATATTATCATGCAGATATCGTACTGCCCTAGTTTTGCTGTATGAAATGCAGTGAACGCATCGAGGATACACGTCTTCGCGCGTCGCTGTTTCACACGAGAAACGTGCGCATACGCATGCACTCAGACACGCGCGGGCGCACGCACACGCACACGCACACGCAAACGCACACGCACACGCACATGCA